CATATGGCACATTAAATCTGAAGAAGAAATCACTAATACCCGAAGCTTCAGTTGTAGCTTCCTGATTTGGTATTGCATATGCCTCAGGCCACTTGGTGAAATAATCCATCCACACAAAAATGTACTTGTTTCCAGCACGAGTTTGGGGTAGAGGACCAGCAATGTCGACGGCTACTCTTTCCATTGGTGCACCAACTTGATATAACTTCATTGGAGCACGTCCTTTATGCTTGGGTTCCCTTTTAGCACAACATGTACTGCATGTTCTGCACCATTCTTCCACATCTTGTCTCATACCTATTCAGTAAAATCTCTGTCGTAGGTGACCCAATGTCTTTTTAACTCCGAGATGTCCTCCTATTAAACTATCATGGGATTAACGCAGCACAACTTCCCATAATTTTCTTGGTATAACTGTTTGCCAGGTCGTCACCTTCCCATCTGCAGTTTCCCATCTCCGGACAAGAATACCATCTTTGAGCTTCAACTGGTCCCATTGTACCCAATAGTTCTTTGTTACAGGGCTTAAGCTAGACACCTTCTCCCAAGCAGTGCACATAACACTTGCTTGTAGAAAATCAATCATTGGCTTCAAATCTTGGTCTTTCTCCTGTTCTACCTTAATATCAATATTTGGTTCCACTTCACCATCATCAACTCTATCAGTCACTTTGACTTCAGCTTGATGACACCTGGTTAGCTCAATCTCTCTTTTAATACTTACTGGAATTTAAAAGCGAATTAGATACGTTAAAGAATGATTTGTTGTGTGTTACACAAGGAGGATACATTGATCATTGACTTAATCAGCCCCAGACAACGGCAAGCCCCTTACAGAGCCCGCAGCTAAACCCTAATGCAGACATATTCAGTCCCGTTAGAAGTCACATCCCAGATATGAATGTCAGTACCAGGAGTGATCCAGTACGAAGGAAGCCACAGGAATACGATGGGAAAGCACCATGGGAAGCATATAGAGCACAGTTTGAGTTACTGGCAGAGATGAACGGACGGACAGAGCTGCCACTGTTGCAGGTTTTCTTGCAAATGCTATAATCTCTGTTCTTGTTTATTTTCTCGTTCTTCTTGTTTCTTTTCTTTTTCCTCTAACAACTGTTGTAATTTCTCTTTCTCGTTCTTCTTGTTTCTTTTGCTGTTCTTGTATTGCTGCCATCAAGTCTGCTAGGCTGTAGTTTGATTTGCCGCTTCTCGTTTCCATTTTTTTTTGTCCCACTCTCTGACACCAATTTGTTACGTCTCCAGTCGTTAGTTGATTTTCCGTAACTTCGTTCC